TCCTTTCTAGGTTTTGTATATATTATCCAATTGCTTTCTTGCCTACAGGTTTCTGCAGAGAAATCAGAGCTTAGTCATATTGGTTGCCCTTTGTAGGTAACACGCCATTTTTCCCAACCTGCTCTCAAGATTTCTGTCTTTAATTTTGGAAAGTTTGATAACAGTATCATTTTTTTCTTTTTTCAAATTTTTACTGTGATTTGGGTGAAAATTTACAGAGCAAATTCATTTTCCATACAGCAGTACACATACACTGTCTCATGACATTGACTGTAATTTCCCACAATGCAATAGCTCTCTTCCCACTTTCCCCCCATAGTTACCTCTTCCCTGTGTCCTTTCCTCCCATTCACTCCTGCCCCGTGACCTGTCTCCCCATGCATACGCTGCCCCTCTATTCTCCCATGATTGATCTCTCTAAGGAGTGTATCTAACTAATATGCCTGTCTTTTGTTTGTCTGGAAGCCACAGGAGTGAGTTCAATTCCAGACCTGAAGGGAAGCTAGGGGCCATAGTCTCACCAGGCTCTATCAGACCAGCAAACCTGCCCCCCCCCCACCTTGCGCTTTTTCTTTTTTTTATGATTTTGAGTTTTGCTCCATATTGTTTTCCCACTCTGTCCAGGACCTCCAACAAAGATCCCCCTTCGAGTGGTTGACAGTGGTAGCTGGGCACCATCTAGTTCTTCTGGTCTCATAGTCATATAGGCTGAGGATCGCTTGGTGTACCAGTCCTTTAAACTAATTGTTTTCATGCATCCTTGACTCTCTTCATTCTTTGCTTTGGAGGAGAGACCTACTGTTGCATCTACATGGCTGCTTCCAAGCTTTTAAGATCCCATTTGCTACTCACCAAACTAGGATGTGGAACCATGTTTTTGTGTAGTATGTTATTCCAATCAAGCTTGATGTCTCCTGTGACCTGATAATGGTATCTCTTGGTGAGTTTCTCTTAGGGTCTATCTTGTATGGGGTTCATCAAGCTTCTTGGATGAATATGTTTTTGTCTTTCATAATATTGGAGAAGCTTTCTGCCAGGTGTTTCCAATTTTTTTTCCCCCTTCTCTTATACTGGAATTCCAATCACACATAGATTATTTCTCTTGATGTTATTCAATATAATTCAGATTTTGTTCATTCTTTTTTCATATATTTTTTCATAAAAGCTAGTGTTAAGGGATTTATCTTCTAGTTAGCTAATGTGTTCTTCAGCCAGTTTGATTCTACTCTTTTGTCCTTCCAATATGTTATTTATTTCCATAATTTTACTGTTAATCTTCTGGACTTCTAATTGCTGCTTTTGTATATTTTCTATTTCTCTGTTTATTTTGTCATTTTGCTGTTGTATTGCTTTCCTGAATTCTTCAAGGCTATTGTCTTTTCCTTGCTTTGCTTCTGATAGCCTTGAGCTCTTGGACAGTTCTCTCTCTATATATATGTCTTTTGAATTTCTTATCAGGCAGTTCTATTACCTGTTTTTCCTCAGAAAGGTTTTCTATTCTTTATTTTAGTCTCTTGCTTCCCATATCTTGTCCTGCTTCTTTGTTTGAACTGAAGTTGCCTGTTATACCTGAGACATTTTGAATTTGTTGTTTTTATTTGTTGGTTACGTGTTGATTTGTTTCACTTTTTTTTCTTTTTCTTTTTTGCTTTGTTTCAATGTGTCTGCTCATGTGGGGTAGGCATGCTACTTCAGTTGTTACCTTGGCAGCAATGGGGTGCTCCCCAGCTGTCTCTGTGTTGGTGCAATAACTGGTGGGATTATGGGTGTGGATCTGTTTGCTATGAAAAGGATATGGAGGTAGGATAAGCAGGCGTTGTCCACCATCTGTCATTGATCCAATGGTTCAGGAATAAGTGGTGGTGCTCATCTTTTGGGTGAGGTGGTCAGTGCAGTAGATATCACTGACCAGTGGAGACTTAATGCCTTCCTCCCATTGGATGGGGACAGGAAAAAAAAAAAATCCCTAGGAGAAGAAGAAGAGGGGGAAAAAAAAAGAGGAAGAAGAAAAAAAGGGATGGTGGATGAGAAGAAAAATTAGTGAAAATAAAAGAGCAAAAGGGAGAAATGAACAAATATGAACAAATAAAATGGAAGAAAAATTGGGAAGAAGGAAAAAAGTCATAAAAAAATAAGGGTAAAATAAGGAAGCAAAGGAGGAGGGACTTTTGTAATTATGGTCAGCCAGCATCCCTGGGAGCAGGCAGTTGTGTCACAAGCCACCGATCCACTAGGCTATATGCCGACAGAGGTGGATGGAGCATGGTATGAGTGGTCACCTCAGGCTGCAGGTGTGTGCTTCTTGTGTTCAGTGTAAGATAGACTAGCAAGTGACACATGTACAAGAGGAAGCCATAGCCCCTGGTTCTGTCTGCTCAGACTGTTGCTCAGGGTGACTGGGCCACTGAGGAGGCAGCTGGGGGTTCTGGGCAGGTCGGGGCAGGACTTCCCTAGCCACCAGCTTGGTTGGGGCAGGGAGAGGTTTCATCCCTAGTCACTAGAAAGCTGTATTGGTTGGAGTGGAGAATGAAGCTCTCAAGTCATGATTCACTGGTGTGGGTATGACATGCTTCTGGATGCATTCAGCCTTTTATCCAGCTCCTGCTCAGAATCAAGTGAAAAGCCACTCTGAGCTAACACTGGTCTTTCCCCTTGTGTGGGTCTTCGGCCCAAATAACTAGTCTTTACTAGTGGTGAGTTGTTTCGTTCCCTCTCTTTGGCATCCTTTGTTCTACAACTGCCTGTACCACTGGAAGTCTGACCCCTTTCTCTGCACTCTCCTCTCCCAGCTTCAGCATGTATTTTGCTTACCTTGAATCCCTCCAGATCTGTCCATACTGTCTTTATCACCTTGCGGATTCCATGAAGTTGTTTTCTCCTTCTCCATATATGATGCCTCTGTGCCTTAAATGGCCATGCTTCAACTCCTCCTACCTTCTTCTCTCTAACCAGTCACTATCCTCATTCTGGCTCCTTTTCTAATAAGCACTCAGTCTAACTGTTTATCCTCTCATCTGATGCTCTGAGTTCCAGGATCATTATCTGTATGTTTCATTTATTTTTTCCATGTCTCTGTTGTAGAGGGATTGGGCATGGTGTGTTAGCAGGATGCCATCTTGTCTCCACCTTATTGCTTTTTTTTTTTTTTTTTTTTGACTTACTATATGCTGGTTGGGAGCTCTGGTGAAATAGTGCCCAACGCATTTGACTGCTAACCAGAAGGCTAATAGTTCAAACCTACCAGCCACTCCTTGGAAGGAAGATTGGGCAACCTACTTCTGTAGAGATACTGCCTCAGAAACCCAAGGAGGGGTCACTATGAGTCAGAAATGACTTGACAGCAATGTATTTGGTTTTTTGGTATATGCTGGTTACAGCCTCCAGTACAATACCAAATAGAAATGCATGATAGTAAGCACCCAATCTTTTAGGGAAAACTTTCAATGTTTTGCTATTAAGTATGATATTTGCATTAGTTTCTTTTTCTTTTCATACATGTACAGTTGAGGAAGGAGTCCAATGTCATTTTCCTCTTATAGACACACAATTGTATCAACACTATTTACTGAAAAGGATCCATTTCCCACTGATCTTCAACATTCTTTGGGCTTATTATGTATTTCTTTTTTAAAAATTTCTTGAGATAGATGCTTATCTCATATATTCACAGCCTTTCTTATTTTCCAGTAGATGCACATAAGGTTATAAATATTCCTGTAACTAATGTATTCCTGCATCACACAGTTTTGATAAGTTTTCATAACTGTTTAACTCAGTATGTTTTCTAACTTTCATTATAATTTCTTCTTTGACCCAACCATTATTTAACAGTGCCTTTTTAGTTTCAAAAAAAGAGAATTATTTCATTTCATTACTGATTTTGACATACTCTATATGATTTCAGAGTATTTCTTTAATGACCTGTGTATGGGCCCTTTTTATTAGTATTTCACATGAGTTTAAAAACAATGTGTATTTTGCAGCTGTTGTGAGTAGAGTTCTATATCTGTCCAGTAGGTCAAGTCTGTTAATCATAAGTTTAATTTTTCTATCTTTTCTGATTTTTTATTCATCTTATTTTTTAAATACAATGACTGTGAGTCCTATTTAACACAATTACTGAGAGAAATATGTTAAAACCGCCCACTATGATTGCAAATGGCCTATGTTATCTTGTTGTTCTACAAAATTTTGCATTATATATTTTGAGTCCATGCTATTAGCAGGACACAAATTTAAAACTGTAATATATTTTTTGATGAAATGAATCTCTGCCAATACAAAATGATCCTTTTTGTTTTTAATAGTGTTTTTTTAAACGTTTGTAATATATTTACATCAGCTTTTTTTGTTATTTGAAAACAAAAAAAACAGCAATATTCTTATGTATATATCTTACAACACATGACCAACTACACAGTAGATTAAATTCTTTGATATGTATTTGCTGGGGAAAAGGTTATGTGCAACTTAAATTTGATCAATAATGACATTGTGTCTTCCAAAGAGACTGTTGTTGTTGTTGTTATGTGCCGTCGAGTCGGCCCCGACTCATAGTGACCCCTCCTTGGGTTTCCGAGGCAGTATCACTACGGAAGTAGGATTGCCCAACCTTCCTTCCGAGGAGTGGCTGGTGGGTTTGAACCGCCAGCCGTCTGGTTAGCAGGCAAGTGTCTTAGCCACTATGCTACCAGAGCTCGTAGCAATCATAATCTCACCAAGAGTGCTTCCATATGGACATCTTAAAGTTGGAACTTCTTTTACTCTCTTATGGGGGCTCAGTTTCTTTCTTTTATTTTAAGAGCTTGTTTTACATTCAACGTAACACGTACATTTAGTTTCATTCCCCATTCACCATGTCCAACCCTCACCCAGTCTCCTTCCCTCCCTACCCTGCAAACCCTCCCCCTGGGGGTACTCAGTTTCTTTGGATTAAAGTGTGCACACGTGGTCCCTCTGTAAGACTGGTCTGGAAGGAAGCATTGTTGGGGAAGACGTACCTTGCTGATCTCTGTCAGTGACATGGCGATGATGTACAATTGGTTCTTACTGGTGCTGGCAATTAGAGTTTCCTCTGAGGGGCTGAAGCACAAGCAGAGAATTTCCTGTTTGTCAGACTGACTCGGGTCATTGCTCTGCGGGTCCACAGGAACCTGCCCAATACGCGAAGCAGCAATCAGTAATGTCCCCTGCACTGCCAGTGTACCCTTGGGCTTTCAGAGTTCTCTCGGACACTCTCAGTTTAAAGATTGCTTGACCAGGATGCTTCCTAGGATTTCCTTTGATATGAAAAAGGCTTTGAGTCCCCTCTGGTTCTTTGGGTGTTAAACACTGTCATGTATTCACCTTTAAGTGATTAGTGGTTGAATAATAAATACTTACACAATTGGAGCCCTGCCAGGGTACACTGCATGAAGCTGGTCTAGCTCTTCTAGCATGAATGAATGAAAAGCTTTTCAGTGCCACATCCTCTTTGGAAAACTAATTTTTTTTGTATGATTTCCACTGGAATGAAACATAAGGCCACGACCTCTCTGAATCAGAGGCATGTGTAATCTATATATCTCAACTGGAGATCCCCTTAAAACAATCATCAGCCTAAATTCCACTCTCATCCACCTCTCAGAGGCATGTGCTCACTTGGCACCAAGTACAACAGTATGTACTTCAGGGCAGAAGAGGGGAAGGTGGTCACACTTCTACCACAAGGGGTGGGTGGCAGGGCAGAGGAAAGAGAAGGGATCACACAGCTCTTGCCAGTAGACTCGGAAAGGGCCTACAGTTCCTGAGTAAACATTTCAGCTAGATTTCTTTCTCCCGGCAGTTTATTTTCTTCCATTAACAATCAAACTTACTGAAAGGCTGGCCTGCACACACTATCTCTATTTCCTCACCATATCCTCAGTTCTTATAATTTAGCTTTCACTGTATTATTTACTGAAACTGTCCCGGGAAGAGCAGCAATTCCTTATCACCAAAGCCAGACACTGCTGCTCAAACCTCATCTTCTTGACTTTAGAGTCTATAGCAGAGACAGCAGTACCTGCCTTGCTTGGGTCAAGAACACTGAGCTCTCAAGCTTCCCTACCACTGCCTGGGGGGCTTTCTCCTTCTATAGCCCCTAAATCTTCTTTTAGCCAACACACCCTCCTCAGCTAGAACAGTGCAGCTCTGAGAAGTTTCTTTGTTGTGGATTGAGTTGTGTTCCCCCAAATACACGTTAGAATTCTAATGCCTACACCTGTAGATGTGATCCCATTTGGGAATAGGGTTTTCTTTCTTATGTTAATGAGGCCATACAAAAATTGTAGGTTGTGTCTTAAAACTAATTATTTCTGAGCAATAAAGAATAATAAGGATTACAGTCAGAAGCCCACACAAATAGGTGGCGAGGTGTGGAGACACATGCCATGTGAAAACTGCTAAGGAATTTGAGGAAGACTGGGGCTACAGAAGCTCAGAGATGAGGGTCTTTCCCCAGAGCCTCCCCTACAGCTGATGTCCTGAATTCAGACTTCTAGTCTCCTGAACTATGAGCAAATACATTTTGTTCTTTAAAGTCACTTGTGGTATTCCTATTACAACAGCACTGTTGTTGTTGTTGTTATGTGCCATTGAGTCGGCCCCGACTCATAGTGACCTCTCCTTGGGTTTCTGAGGCAGTATCACTACAGAAGTAGGATTGCCCAGCCTTCCTTCCAAGGAGTGGCTGGTGGGTTTGAACCGCCAGCCGTCTGGTTAGCAGGCAAGTGTCTTAGCCACTATGCTACCGGAGCTCCTTACAACAGCACTAGGAAATGAATATACTCCCCTAATCTGGTGGGGTAGGAGCTGATACTCTCTAAGTGTGCCCACAGTGCCTGGGAGCTCCCTCTGTGGTTACATTTACGACACTGTGTAAAGAAGAATGGCAGCTCTCAGCCTGAGGACTTTGTTTTGTCCACATCATATCCCAGTGCTTAGAATAGTTCCTAGCACATAGTAGGTACTCAGCAAATGAATGGATGTTAACTTGCAGAGACAGGGAGCTACTTGGGGATAAGTGTTTTGTCAGCTACCCAGCATAGAGCCTGTTGACATTTGTTGAATGAATGAATGGATGACCACTACCTCTCAGTGTCCTTTTCTGGGTTTTCCACCCATCTCAGTCTCTAAAGTAGGGACTGTAAAATTCCATCCTCAGTCTTCTTTTACTTTTTCTCTATATTTATCTCTCCTTATATTTATATTTTTGTCTTTATATATTTATCTTTCAGTATAAAAAATAATTACAGTGATAAATACTTAAAATATTAAAAATAAAGCAGCAGTAATGTCCCAGATACAATGGTATACATTATATGTAAATAGGGAGCCCTGGTGGCATAGTGATTAAAGCACTTGGCTGCGAACCAAAGGTCAGCAGTTTGAACCCACCAGCTGTCGTGCAGGACAAAAATAAGGCAGTCTGCTTCCATAAAGATTTATAGCCTTGGAAATCCTATGGGGCAGTTCTACTCTGTTCTATAGGTTTGCTATGAGTTAGACTCAACTTGATGGCAGTGGGTTTGGTTTGGTTTTATACAGTATGTTCAAATCAGATTCCAAATCTTAATCTTATGCTTAATATCTTAAGCATAAGACTGATCTACTTAAAAACTTTTCAGGTTTCCTGCTGAGATACACACATACCCCTCCTGGCTGATATTAGAGATCTTTCACCAGCTTTAAAAAAAAAACCAAAAACAACAGCTGCCAGTGAGTTGACTCTGATGCACGGGGACCCCATGCGTGTCAGAGCAGAACTGTGCTCCACAGGGTTTTCAATAGCTGATGTTTTAGAAGGAGACTAATAGGCCTTTTTTCCAGGGCACCTCTGAGTAGACTTGAACCTCTCACCTTTTGGTCAGCAGCTGATGTGTTAACCATTTGCACCACCTAGGGCCTCCTTCACCAGCTTTAGCTCCCATCTTTTGCCTTCAAGTAACTTCAGTCCCTCTCCAGTAGGGAACAGAACATTTCCCAAACATATCACTTGCCCCTTCAGTGGCGCCTTTCGCTATGTTGTTCCTACCACTAGAATTCCTAACTTTTTCTTCTCGTCAAATAGTATCCATCTTCTAAGACCCTTCTCAAAGATCACTATCAAATACTATGAGGTCTTCCTGAGTCTTATCTAACCACATATGATCCCTCTGTACAGGTTTCTATCATTTATTCCAAAACATTTATTGAATGCTTACTATCCTTGCATTCAATATCAATATAAATCATAGTAATACAATATGTGTGCATGTATAGCATCAGGATTGAAGGAAAACTAATTAACAAGCTGTAATATGCAAATGACACAGCCTTGTTTTCTGACAGTGAAGAGGAGTTGAAACACTTACGAAGATCAAATCTTAAGTATAGATTATACCTCAACGTAAAGAAAACACAAATCTTTACAACTGGACCAATAAGCAACATCATGATAAAGCCAGAAAATATTGAAATTGTCAAGGATTTCATTTTACATGGATCCATAATCAACGCTCATGAAAGCAGCAGTCAAGAAATCAAATGACAGTGGGCAAATCTGCTGCAAAAGACCTCTTTAAAGTGTTAAAAAGCAAAGATGTCACTTTGAGGACTAAGGAGTGCCTGACCCAAGCCATGGTATTTTTAATCGCCTCATACACACGTGAAAGCTGGGCAATGAATAACGAATACCAAAGAAGAACTGATGCGTTTGACTTACTGTGCTGGCAAAGAATACTGAATGTACCATGGACTGTCAGAAGAACGAACAAAGCTGTCTTGGAAGAAGTATAACTAGAATGTTCCTTAGAGGCAAGGATGGTGAGACTTTGTTGCACATACTTTGGACATGTTACCAAGAGGGACTAGCACCTGGAGAAGGACATCGTACTTGGTAAAGCAGAGGGTCAGTGAAAAAGAGAAGACCCTTGACAAGGTGGACTGACACAGCGGCTGCAACAATGGGCTCAAACACAGCAACAAGTGTGAGGATGGTGCAGGGTCAGGCAGTGTTTTGTTCTGTTGTACACAGGGTTGCCATGAGTTGGAACCAACTTGATGGCACCTAACAACAACAATCCACCCAAAGGGACCTCGAAAGAAAGGCCTGGCAATCTGTTTCTGAAAAACCACAACCACAAAAACCCTATAGAGTGTAGTTCTACTCTGCAATATATGGGGTTGCCATGAACTGGGATCGACTCCACAGCAAGATGTGTGTGTGTGTGTGTGTAAAATGGGAGCTCTGGTGGTGTAGTGCCTAAGGCATTTGACTGCTAACCAGAAGGCTGGTGGTTCAAACCCACCAGCTGCTCCTTGGAAGGAAGATTGGGCGATCTACTTGCAGTAGACATATCACCTCGGAAACCCAAAGAGGGGTTGCTGAGTCAGATCCAACTTGACATTGAGTTGTTTTTTTTTTTAAAAAAAAAAAAGCTTAAAAGAGAAAATATAATTTGTCCAAGTTCTCTCCCAGGTTTCAAATCCAGATCTTCCTAATTCCAAACCCCGATTCTCTCCAGCATCCTAAAGGATAGCTCAAGTCACCACTGTGCTTAGTGCTACAGCCCCTCTGCTTCCCATCACACCCTTGCCAGAGCACTCTGACTAGGGAACAAATGGCAGTAGGCACCCAGCCCTGCTTCTTCCCTGTCTCCTTACCCGGATTTCCCTGCTTTCACGGTAAAAATCCTTGTCTTCTACTTTCTCAAACAGCAGAACTCTCCCTTGACCAGCAGAACAGGCAAATCCCTTTGAATAGGCTGCAATGGCAAACACCTGGGGCAGCGTCAGCTGGGTGTGGCTGTTGGCCGGTGTCAACTGTTCAAAGGAAGGGACTGGGGAACTGGGTGGTGGAAATTCTATCAGGCTGGAAAAGGAAAACAACAGCATATAAAATTTTCAGAGACAATGCCAAGGAAATGAATTCTGTCAGGAATGAGAAAGAAAGGCTATGCATGGGGTGGGGGTAGGGGTAGGGGAGAGAAACCATCAATGTGATCCCTTTTCCCATAATGAACACACTACCCTATAGCCTGGAAATGCTATGCAAACTTCAAAGAGAAGACCAAGAAGTTACACATTTATTTGACAGACTCAGAGCCCTGTGTGTTCACTATTAGTGTTACTGTTTCCAGTTTGTCATTGAGTAAAAGTGGCTTATAAACCCACTGCCATCGAGTGGATTATTCTGACTCATTTTGACCCTTTAGGACAGAGTAGAACTGCCCCACAGGGTTTCCAAGGCTGTAATCTTTACAGGAGCAAGCTACCTCATCTTTCTCCCATGGAGTGGCTGGTGAGTTTGAACTGCCAACCTTTTGGTCAGCAGCTGAATGCTTTAACCACTCCCCTACCAGAACTCCTAAAAAGTGGCCTCCAACCGCCCCCCCCTCAAAAAAAAAAAAACCTCCAAATTCATTGCCATTGAGTTGACTCTCACAGCAACCCCCTTTGGGTTTCCAAGGAGGTAAATCTTTATGGAAGTAGATTGCCCAGTCTTCCCTCTGGAAAAGTGGCTTATTGTTGTTGTTATGTGCCGTCGAGTCAGACCTGACTCATAGCGACCCCTCCTTGGGTTTCTGAGGCAGTATCACTATGGAAGTAGATTGTCCCATCTTCCTTCCGAGGAGTGGCTGGTGGGTTTGAACTGCCAGCTTTCTGGTTAGCAGTCAAGTGCCTTAGGAACTATGCTACCAGAGCTCCTGAAAAAGTGGCTTAGCGGGGTTGAATTTCCAAGGTCATACAACTATAAGTGGCAAAGTTGAGATTTGAATCCAAGTTTTTCCATTTTTACTCATTCATTCAACAAATATTTGTCTGAGTTATACTGTGTTCACAGCAATCTGGAAGAGTAGTAAATAAGACTGAAACAGTTTCTGATCTCAGAAACTTAAATCTAGGGAAAGGACAAAAACAGGATCAAGTGAAAAGGATTGTTACGGGGCAGCTGATTAAAATGGGAGCAGCCAGTCAGTAAGTGACAAGACTTTTCTGAAGACAGTTACAGGGGAGAGGAACTGGTAGCGCAGTTGGTAAGGTATTTGGTTGCTAACCAAAAGGCCAATGGTTCAAACCTACTAGCTGCTCAGTGGGAGGAAGATAAGGCAATCTACTTCTGTAAAGATTTACAGCCTTGGAAACCCAATAGGGTTGCTATGAGTTGGAATGACTTGATGGCTGTGGGTTTTTTTAGTTACAGGAAGGGGTACCTATCTCAGATGAGTGAGTCTGAGAGCTGCCAGGTGAGACATGAAAGACCAACAGGAGTTTGTCAGCTATGCACCTGTGTTGGGGTGAGTGAACAGAGGTAATGGCACATGACCAAACCCAGAACCAAGCCAGGGCACAGGGTGGTCAGGGAACCAAAACAGAGTGAGATGGATAGAGGTAAGAGTGAATGCTTGAGATGTAACAGAGAAGAACAGCATGAACATGTGGGCCAAGTTAAAGAGTTTGGATGTTAGTCTTGGAGTCTTGGTCCCACTGAAGGATTCTGAACAGAGCAAACTGTAGAAGGGAAGAGGAGCTCTTACATACATAATCATGACCAAAAAAAAGGAGATACCTGTGGTAAGATGGGTGGTTAAAACCAGGTGGATCGGAACTTATTGAGGAAGATGAGCAGATGGTATGCCACTGCAGTTTAGGGGTTGGGCTCTGGAGTCAGACACATCTGAGTTTGAATTCTGACCCTGCCACTTAACAGTGCTATGTTCCTGGGTAAGCTATTTTCTCTCTCTGAACATCACTTTCCTTGTCTATAAAATGGGCATGATAATAATGCATACTACAATAGGTTCTTAGAAGAGTCAAATAAAATACATATAAAATCCATACAGCAGGATCTGACATATAAATGGTACATCCCAATATGTGGGAGATATGATCATTACTGGTTGTAGCAGAGGTAAAATTGACCCCCATTTTACTCCATATGACCCTCTCAGATTTACCTATAATCTTTCCTTGTACTTCTTTGTTGGTCTGTTCTTCCTACTGAGTTATAAGGTCCTTGAGGACCTGTATCCTCAGCACCTAGTAAGATGCCAGGTATACTTCTAAGGCTCAACAGACATTTATTTAGCTGACTCAGTAAATTAAGCAGCCA